AACAATTCATTATCATAACAACATTTTCTGACCTGAACAAGTCAGAATTGTCAAACACCAGGTCATCTAAAAGACCACGCGTCCGTATTTACAGGTCGCGCGCCTTCATGAAACAGCTAAAAAATCACTTGCAAGGAACTTCTTTATAGGCAAAAAATATAAAAATGCCCATGAAAATACGGAGGTAATATGAATAACCTTTCTAAAAATGCCCACAATGACCTAGATTTTCACTAAAAATCGTAAATAATCAATATAATATTCAATGACTTCTCGTTCGAGACACTTCCAGAACAACGACTCTCAAACACGTGATCTTTTGCAAAAAACCACGTGATCGTATGTGTCGTAGATCGGCGGCAAATTCAAAATAACTTCTGGTTTGACGGACTTGAGTGAAAACTACGCAAAATAAAAATTGACGCGTACAGGTCAGAATTTCAAAACACTTTCTGACTTGAAGAAGTCATTTTATTCTGACTTGTTTATGTCAGAGCTCTTACTGCTAGAGAAAATGTGACAAAAGTTTTAACTTGGCTATCATGTGTATTATGATACAAGTGTTCAGTAAACAGGAAGTTGTTGAGTGATGAATCTAAAAATGCATCACACGTACGGATATAACTTACTAATATAAACACTGAAATTTCAGAAATCCTTGTCAAGTAGTTTCTGAGAAAAATGCGACGAAAATTTTCATGGGACGGGCGGACTGACGGATGAATGGATGGACAAACAGAGGTTAAACAGTACACCCCCACCATTTTTTTAAAGCGGGGGTATAAAAATAGTTGACCTATTGCTTAAGCACTTGAAAAACAGTGTCTCACATGACAAAATTTATACGAAAATTTATCATTTATCAATAAACAATACAAATTAGGTCAAGGTCAGACATACCTGCCAGACAAACATGTACACTTAACAATTATTTCATCACAAAATATAGCTGACCTATTTCTTATAGTACTTGGAAAACAGACCTAAACAAAACAAGAGTGCACACGCTGAAATGTCTCGCCCTCTTTACTTATCATTGATATTATTATGTTGATAAAAAATGTTGTCCTAAATATAAAGCTTTATTAAAACTGTCACATAAACTTAACATTAACCAAATAAACTAAACCTTGACCAATGAACCATGAAAATGAGGTCAAGGTCAGATGAACCATGCCAGACAGACATGTGCAGCTAACAATTCTTCCATACAACAAATGTAGTTGACCTATTGCTTATAGTTGAAGAAAAACAGACCAAAACACAAAAACTTTACACTGAGCAATGAACCTTGAAATTGAGGTCAAGGTCAAATAAAACCTGCTCGACTGACATATAGATCATAAAATATTTCCATACACCAAATATAGTTGACCTATTTCATATAGTATTAGAAAAAAAAAACCAAAACTCAAAAACTTAACTTTAACCACTGAACCATGAAAATGAGGTCAAGGACAGATGACACCTGCCAGCCAGACATGTACACCTTACAATCATTCCATACACAAAATATAGTAGACCTATTGCATATGGTATAAGAAAAACAGACCAAAACAAAAAAACTTAACACTGAGCAATGAACCGTGAAAATGAGGTCAAGGTTGAATAAAACATGCCCAACTCACCTATAAATCATAAAATGTTTCCATACACCAAAAATAGTTGACCTATTGCATATAGTATTAGAAAAAAAGACTAAAACTCAAAAACTATAACAACTGAACCATGAAAATGAGGTCAAGGTCAAATGACACCTGCCAGTTGGGCATGCACACCTTACAGTCCTTCCACACACCAAATATACTAGACCTTTTGCTTATAGTATCCGAGATATGGACTTGACCACCAAAACTTAACCTTGTTCACTGATCCACGAAATGAGGTCGATGTCAAGTGAAAACTGTATGACAGGCATGAGGACCTTGCAAGGTATGCAAGTACCAAATATAGTTATCCTATTACTTATAATAAGACAGAATTTAACATTACAAAAAATCTTAACTCTTTTTTTCAAGTAGTCACTGAACCATGAAAATGAGATCAAGGACATTGGACATGTGACTGACGGAAACTTCGTAACATGAGTCATCTATATACAAAGTTTGAAGCATCCAGGTATTCCACCTTCTAAAATATAAAGCTTTTAAGAAGTAAGCTAACGTCACCGCCGCTGTAGCCGCCGAATCACTATCCCTATGTTGAGCTTTCTGCGACAAAAGTCGCAGGCTCGACAAAAACTTCAACATTGACTTATCAACCATGAAAATAAGATTGAGGTCAGATGAAATCTACCACACCGAGATGTACCCCTTACAATCATTCCATACACCAAAAATAGTTAACCTACTGCTTAAAACTTTTAAGAAATTAAAAAAAATGTTGAAGAAAAAATACCCCAAAAATTTTTAACCACCCCCCTCCTTTCCATTTTGTAATTATTACCCCAAAACTCAATTCCATCCTTCCCTATATAAGCTATGTAGTGATAAACTGTGTAGTACAATTTTAGAGAGATCCATACACTTAAACACAAGTTAATGTCTGGAATCAAGAAAAATGCTTGCTTTTGGTTCCTTTTTTGCCCCTGATTCTTGAATGTTTGGGAGATTATCCCACAACTCAATCCCAGCCTTCCCTTTGTGATATGGAAACTTGTGGTACAATTTCAGAGAGATCCTTTCACTTACACACAAGTTATTGTCTGGAAACAAAATGCTTGTTTTTGGCCCCTTTTTCCTAAACTGTTGGTACCATAACCCCCAAAATCAATCCCAACCTTCTTTTTGGGGTAATGAACCTTCAGGTAATATTTGTTAAGAGATCCATTTACTTAAACTAAAGTAATTGTCCAGAAACCAAATGTGTTTTCAAACAACGCCGACCACGAAGCGGACAACGACGACGAAAAACATCAAAACATTATATAAATAAAGCAAATTTTTGACGACATAAAAAACTCATTTTTTTTCAATCAGTCACTGAACCATGAAATTAAGGAAATGACATTGGACACATGACAAATTAACACTTCATAACATAAGGTATCTGCATACAAGATATGAAGCATCCAGGTCTTTAATCTTACAAAACATAAGGCTTTATATAAACTGCTATTGTGACGCCGCCATTGCTGCTGGATAGTAATACATATGGGTCAATATCTTTGTTTTTCCATAGGCGGTAATGGTAACGTTTTTTCCTGTAGCTCATTCCATATCGTAAACTTATATATGTATGATAGCTTGTTTCGAAGCTGTGACATTTTCACATATGTGGTTAAATTTTCGGGGTACGAAGTGAGATTACTTTTTCCGTAAATTAGCATACCCCAAACATCCTTTCGTGATGCGGCTCCTCGTGGTAAAAAATCCCTTTTTTAACACAATAAGTTCTTTGAAAATTTAATACTTTGAACACATTTAATAGCTCCATAGTTTTTACACATTTATTCTATGTTCCTCTACTTTCCTAATCACCTCAAATGGTTAAGCTCAGTCATTTGTAAAAAATAGAAACATGTCCAATATCACTACACAGAGATTTTTTGTTTACACACAACTTTTGAGTTCCTCATTTCGAGGCGCATTAGGGATATTGACCCATATGTCTCACAAAATGCGACGAAATACTGCGGTGAGACAAAAAACCAAAGATGGAGGGCCATCATTTGGTTTCTTTTTCTTTCTTTCTAATAAGCAAGCCATATGATACAGCTGTAACTGGTTCTAAAATCAGATCCAGATGATCAACTACCTTTTTATAGTTGGCAACCATGCATTTGTGGAAGTTGTATTTGTCTGTTGAAGATACGTTTTTTACTCTGCTTTTCTGCATTAAACTAGTGTTTGAACAAAAAGAACATCACTGTAAAGAATAATACTGGTAAAAATAATATTTCCCAAAACTTTTTTTACCCCTAATTAAAAGATTTGTCAAACACTTACCCATATCATATTTCTAGATCTGCATCTCTGATAAAAATAAACTGTTATCACAGAGATATGTCTCACTTTTTTTAAATTTCGATAATGCAAATGTTGAAATTAAAATAGCAACACTATGAGTATAACATGTGAGTTTTGCAAATATTCAAAGTCAATGACCATGACTGAAGGTACATTGACAAAACAATCTCCATGGAAATGAGTTGTGCCAATGCTAATACAACTGCAAACCAAATACCATTGACTTATCATACCTAGTTCCCTTTAAACAAACATAAATACAAACTAATACATGTCAACTAAGCAAAATTTCAAAGTCAATAAACCATAACTGAGGGTCGGGGTGAAATAATCATGGAAATGAGATCTGCCGATGCTAATACAACTGCATACCAAACATCATTGACATACCACTAGTGGTTCCCCATAAACCAATCTTACCACAAACTAATACATGAAAACTTAAGCAAAAGTTGCATAGTCAAATGACCATGACTGAAGGGGCAGGGCCAAATAATCTCCATGGAAATGAGATATGCCAATGATTATACAACTGCATACCAAATATCATTTACTTCTCACTAGTGGTTCCCCATAAACTGACCTAATCACAAACTAATAAATGAGAACCAAGCAAAAGTTTTGAAGTCAATAGACCATGACTGAGGGGGTGGGGCAAAATAATTTCCATGGAAATGAGATATGCCAATGCTTATAAAACTGCATACCAATTATTATTAACTTACCACTAGTGAGTGGTTCTTCATAAACTTACCTAATCACAAACTAATACATGAAAACTAAGCAAAGTTTCAAAGTCAATAGACCATAACTGAGGGGATGGGGCCAAATAATCTCCATGTTAATGAGATGTGCCAATACTTATACAACTGCATACCAAATATCTTTGACTTACCACTTGTGGTTCACCATAAACTAGACCTAATCACAAACTAATACATTGTTGACACCGCAGCTGACGCCGGAAACAGCATACCTATGTCTTGCTTTTTGACTACGTCAAGCGAGACAAAAACTAAAATGTTTTAATACCCTTTAATCCTTTGTTGTTGTCATCTACATCTTCCTCCTCATTTTCACCATCATCACTCTAAAAATCCAAAAGGAAAAGTTGAGATAATGTTTTACTGTGTAACAAAAAATACAGATTTAATTTAATTGAACAAATTGAAACATTTGTTTGTTGAAAGATTCTCATTTTTAGTAATGTAGAGGTTAATGGATATTCATGTTACTTAGTTAACTGCATTAGATTGAATTGTCAACCTTAAAGGTGTGATATGAAACATTTGTTTAGACATTAATCTCAAATCTTCTTTCACAATACAAACTCGTGTAAGGCATAAAAGACAAACATTGAGACTCATGCTGATTTTTTTGAACCAAAACCGAAAATTTGTGTTCGAAAAAATTTCTATTAACAAACCACAAACACATTTAAATTCTAGTGTCAACAGTACAAAGGTTAAGCTTGTTCCACTAAAGGTCAACTCGTACCTATACATACTAACTGGTATACGTACCTTTGCCAACTGACATTCCATTATAATATTTAATATCCAAATATTTTATGAAGTGTTCTTTGCAAATCTTTATAAAATATCTATTGAATTTCTTTATCAATAGTAACATAGACTTATGTAACATATTGAATTGCTTGTTATATTTGTGCATTACTTTCTATTACAATTCTAATATATAAATTAAATTCCTTTAATTGTGTGATTAGGTGTGTAATCAACTATTTAATCTAATCAATCAATTATGATTGGCATTATATAACTGAACAGCTTGGAATTAATTATAAAAGAGGGGCGAAAGATACCAGAGAGACAGTCAAACTCATAGATTGAAAATAAACTAACAACGCCCTGGTTAAAAAATAAAAAGACAAACAGAAGGCCGTACCTTGACCTATAATGGTTTACTTTTATAAATTGTTACTTGGATGGAGAGTTGCCTCATTGGCACTCATACCACATCTATCTAAATAATAGTACAGAAGACACAACATAGAAAACTAGACTAAGCAACACGAACCCCACCAAAAACATGTGGCACCAATTGTGTTGCTTATGTTATTACAAATCTGGTAAATAGTCTTATTCGGTAGGTCACATTCATGAAAAGGGAAGGGTATTGTAGTTAAGACATAAGGAAAATATCTGATATCATCTGTGAAAAGGTTATTCCATAAGGGTCAACCAACTCGTGATGGCGTTTGTAAAATTTACGAAGGGATGATTTCAACTTCACCATTTGGAAATCTTGGTTTAATAGCTTCCTTGTGAGCAACAATTCTCTATCAAGGAAATCATGATAGGAAATACAAGCCCGGGAATATCGTATCAATTGGGAGATATATACTTCGTATGCAGGCCCTGCTGGAATGTTGCTACATAGAAATGGACAGTTTACAATTAGGAAGCTGAAATCATCTCTTTTGTCGTAAAGTTTTGTTTTCAACCGACCCTCAATTCTAGATGTAAGTCAAGATATGAGGCAGACTTAACTGTATCTATAGTATTCTTTATCTCTAGTTCGATGGGATAGATTCTTCAACATAGTCACCATATTTTGTATTATTTAGTGAGAGAACATCATCTATATAGCGGAACATAAAGTTAATGGATATTGCTAATTTCTTATCTTTCTTCCTAAGAAGTTCCTGTATGAACATCTATCATTAAATAAAATTCCTCATTATCAAAACTCAAGCTAATACATGTAATATGAGTCGTCATCATGCCTGCTAGTCAAATGTAAATAAACACAAAACAAAAACATATCAAAATAAAACAAACATACACTTTGTTTTTTCATTCAATTAGCTGAGGAACAATCAGCTACAAGTTTGTCATTGTGACTTTCTAATTATCTTTTTTTTTACAGATTTCTGAGTTATTCAGTTAAACTTATAAATTTAACTTTTACCAACAATTTAGTGCACTTAAATAAGGTGGTAAAAACTTATGTTGTACATGTTTGCTATTAGAGGCACAAGATGACATAGGTATGAGTTTGCAAACCAAAAATGACATAAAAGAAATGTGGCTGAATAAAAGAACATTTATGTAATCTAAGAGTGACACAAATTTTCTGTAACAGTCATTAAAATTGCTGTTGTCACTCCAATTTACAATCAGATAAATGTAAAATTATTTTTACGTTACCCTGTTGCCTGCAAGAGTTGTTCCATCATCACTACAAGATACTGCTGTCTCTTCAGTACAAGGTTCTGGCTGTATAGTTTCAGACAATATCACCTTATTGTTTCCAATAGCTGGCTGTGAAACCTCAGAAGACTGTTGGACACTAATGCCATCAGACAAATTAACAATTCCTGAATACTGTGATTCATTTGTATCACTAGCTACCTCTGTACTCTGTCCAGGAGACATCAAGTTGGTGATTCCACATGTTGACTAAAGAGATAATGATAACGAATTATAGAATAACTAATCAAAGAATTTAATTAAAGAAAAATATTCAATGAGTGACCAAACAACTTGATCTATAAATCACAATAAGTGCTCGTAGCACATAAATTTAATTTTTTTTTCGGTTACCAGTGAAATTTTTCTATATTTGAATTCTTTGATTAAGTTATTCTTTTTATTACATTTACAATGGGCTTTTTAATGGAATTAAAGAAGAAAATATAAGGAACTGTATCTTTTTCTTAGCATTCACAATTTACTTTCGACAACATCGTAACAACACCTATTTTATTAAACTGGTGATATATATGATTTCCCATGAGAGGACAGCCAGGTGGTGCTGTCCAAGGTCATTGCGGTCGCTTTGTTGTCCGAGGTCATATGTGCATTTTTTTATTAATTTTTGTTGGACTTATTACATTTTTTTCTCGTTATTGTTTAACTTTATGATTGAGGGATATTCTGTAAACTTTCTGTGATGGCTTAAAAATCATGTAGATTTTTTTTATTAACACTGATATTGACCAAAGTGGTAAAAAAATTGGCTGAAAATAATATTGATGAATCGACGTCCGAAAGGAATAATTTTGCCAAAATGGTGAAACATCACACAAAAGAAATTTATAAAATTAAATCAGGAAAGGTTTCTGAAACAGTGGGAAACTATGATTATGATATTAACACTAGAAGTGTAATGAATAGAAGTTCAGACCCAATGGGCATGTCGGCGGGACATGGTATGCTGCGCATGTCTGGGGTCCCTGAAAGTGAAAGTGAAACTATCGGTAGTGAAAATAACAACAGTCCAACAATGAAAGATATGATGGATAAGTTTTCCAGCATGGAAAAATCTCAAACAGAGATTATGGCTAATTTAGCAGTGAACATTCTGCAATTGCAAAATAAATTCAGAGTCGAAGAATGCTAAAACTCATCCACAAAAAGTGTCCGATAAAACTGATGACAGTTACTGTTAGTGATATTCCTGAATTATCAGATATATCAGATGATGATAAGGAATCTGAGGAGGAACAAGAGGACCAAGATGTTGTTTGTTCATTAGACCAAATGTTAGATGAGGTAGATGAAGACTTCTTTTTAGAATTAGAAAAAGAATATGAGGAGGACAAAAAGTTTGGTCCTGAGATTGACATTGCAATGCCAAAACTAGCTGAAACAGCTATTGAGAAACTGTTAAATGACGAGGAGAACCAAAAGTTAACAGAGAATTATTTGGTGCCTGAAAATGGTTAAAAGATAAAGGTATATTTTCATATTAAATATTATATTGCAGTAGATAAAAGTATAAGATAAGATTAAAGTAAAATATAACAAAAAGAAGATCTATGTAATGAACAATAATGGTTTTGAGACTGATGTTGTTTTATTCAACGGTAATATAAATCTGATTATCATGAATTCATGATTAAATGAATGCTTATTCCATTTTTTAGGTAACTCTGGAAAACAGAGAATTATGGAAGATTTTAAAAACCAAAAGAGAAGGAGGTGTGGCTATGCAAAAGGTAATTCAGACATGCAGTTCAGCATTAGTCATGGTACTGAAATTGTGTGAAGTAGACACATCTGTACATAATTTTTATTTGGGGACAACCTGGATGAAAAAGTAGATAAATTAGACAAAGATGACAAAAGGTCAGACAAATTATCTATGGAGTCAGGAGGTGATTTTTTAGGGAAAAGAAAACACAACTGGTCAAAGGACAGTCATTGGGGTCCAGCAAAAGACAAAAACTGGCCAAAAGACAAATTCTGCCCAAAGGACAAATTCTGGGCAAAAAACATAAAGAAACTAAAGAAACCAAAGACAATGAATTTAATGTATCTGTATTAGTACTTGTATGTTAAAGTTATACAATACTCCAGATAATTTTATTGGAGGCCTGATTTCAGTATTTATTCACAACTGGGATTTATTAACTTTGGATAAATGGATAAGAAATGTTTTAACTGGTTATACTATTGAACTAGACAATATACCATTCCAAATAACTATTCCTAAAACAATTGAAATTAATGAACATGAGAGAAATTTAATTCAGAAAGAAATTGAAAAGTTTTTAAGTAAAGAATTTATTGAAAAAGTGTCAAATAATGATACTCGTGGATATTATTCTAATATTTTCATTAGACCAAAAAAGGACGATAGTGTTAGTGTTAATCTCAAATCATTCAATGATAATGTTGTGAAAATACATTTCAAAATGGAAACTTTGCACACTGCTTTTAACAAAATTAAACTAAACCAATATATGGCTTCAGTTGACTTGAAAGATGCGTATTATAGTGTGCCTATACAAGAAAGTCATCTGGCTGTCCTCTCATGTGAAATCTATATCACCAGTTTAATAAAAAATACAATTAATCTTCAAATGTTTTGATTAATCAAAACAGTATTATACCTAACATTATATAGTAGTTACTTGATTTGCTAATACAGAATCATGTGTCATATTTTGTTTCAATGTTTTTTCCAAAAATCGGCAGGAGCGATGAATAACTCTAACAAATTGAAGCCTCCATCAAACAACCCTATTATTCACCAGTGAATAACCCTTGTCATACTCAATGACCACTAATTTACTCCCTTTAAAGTATGACGTCACTTAACATCGGCTGAAAAAAAACAAATATGGCAACGGCCAGGTTAGAAGTCCATCAAGTGATGAAGAAACAAGACCATACAAGACCTGGAAATTCATCTAGTGTCGAGGATATCTCTTGTACAGTGAATTGTTATGGTTCAATTCTGAGTCCTTTGGTCTATGAATAGTTGTCTCATTGACAATCATACACAAGATACAATGATCCCTGTATAAAGCCGACTTCACTGAGCAGAGACGAAAAACTGAGTAACACAATGATAATGCACTTTTATAGGCAAACAGATATCTGGGCCTATACTTTAATATTGTCCTAATAAGAAATTTTTCTATTTACGGTGTGTTGTTCTATCTAAGACCATGATCACATAAGACAGGACATTATATCAGTCAACCAATTGGCAATGGTTAGCTAAAAACTTGTGTAGTATTGATTTTAGTATCCTCATAATTCTGTCTGAGCAGTTTTCACTACAAAAGTCAAAAAGTCTGAAAAGACCAGTTTTTGTCTGAATTTGCATGATTTTTACTCGACATTCTTAATTTGTCTGAATAATTTTTAAAAATTCTTGACATAGTATGAATTTGTCTAATAAGGTTCTTGATTTTCGTTTAGGTCAAAGAATTTGTTCCCATCTTGATTCAAAAACCTTATTCATTTTTTAGAACAACCCAAAAGATGAATTGTGGGGTCCAAAAGAGATACAAGACACCTATTTTCGCTCACCTGACTCTACTTTGGTTTTAGAAATCATGTAAAGATAGATAAAAATCATAAAAGATACCCAAATAATGATTGAGGCCAAATTTTGATTAATATTGGTCCCGTTATTTAATAAAATATCCTGGTGGCCATCTTGAACAGTAAATCGGCAACAAAGTAGCAACACTTGGTCAGCACTTCATAAGGAACATTCATGCCATGTTTTGTTTCATTCCATTCAGTGGTACTCTAACAGAAGACATTTGTATGTATTTCCAATAATGGGTCCTATGTTAAACTAAGCCCCCTCACCCCCTAGCAGCCATCTTGGATCTTGATGGATCGACTGCAAAGTAACAACACTTGGTCAGCAACTCATAAGGAACATTCATGCCATGTTTGGTTCAATTCCATTCAGTGGTTCTCTAAAAGAAGACAATTGTATGTATTTCCCATAGGGTCCTATGTTAAACTAAGTCCCCCGCTGTCGGCCATCTTGGATGATGGATCGGCTGCAAAGTAACAACACTTGGTCAACATCTCATAAGGAAAATTCATGCCATGTTTGGTTCCATTCCATTTATTGGTTCTCTAAAAGAAGACATTTTTCTGTATTTCCCAAAGGGTCCTATGTAAAACTAAGTCCCCCGCTGGCGACCATCTTGGATGATGGATCGGCTACAAAGTAACAACACTTGGTCAGCATCTCATAAGGAAGATTCATGCCATGTTTGGTTTCATTCCATTCAGTGGTTCTCTAAAAGAAGACATTTGTATGTATTTCCCATAGGTCTTTTGTTAAACTAAGTCCCCTGCTGTCGGCCATCTTGGATGATGGACCGACTGCAAAGTATCAACACTTGGTCAGCACCTCATAAGGAACATTCATGCCATGTTTGGTTTCATTCCATTCAGTGGTTCTCTAAAAGAAGACATTTGTATGTATTTCCCATAGGGTCCTATGTTAAACTAAGTCCCCCGCTGGCGGCCATCTTGGATGATGGATCGGCTACAAAGTAACAACACTTGGTCAGAACCTCATAAGGAACATTCATGCCATGTTTGGTTTTGTTCCATTCAGTGGTTCTCTAAAAGAAGACATTTGTATGTATTTCCCATAGCTAGGGTCCTATGTTAAACTAAGTTCCCTGCTGGCGGCCATCTTGGATGATGGATCGGCTACAAAGTAACAACACTTGGTCAGCATCTCATAAGGAACATTCATGCCATGTTTGGTTTCATTCCATTCAGTGGTTCTCTAAAAGAAGACATTTGTATGTATTTCCCATAGGGTCCTATGTTAAACTAAGTCCCCCGCTGGGGGCCATCTTGGATGATGGACCGACTGCAAAGTAACAACACTTGGTCAGCATCTCATAAGGAACATTCATGCCATGTTTGGTTCCATTCCATTTATTGGTTCTCTAAAAGAAGACATTTTTATGTATTTCCCATAGGGTCCTATGTTAAACTAAGTCCCCACTAGCGGCCATCTTGGATGATGGATCGGCTACAAAGTAACAACACATGGTCAGCACCTCATAAGGAACATTCATGCCATGTTTGGTTTCATTCCATTCAGTGGTTCTCTAAAAGAAGTCATTTGTATGCATTTCCCATAGGGTCCTATGTTAAACTAAGTGCCCCGCTGGCGGCCA